TGGAGGTATTAATTTCTATAAACAAATTTATATAGCTTAAAGGACCTGACTTCTACGCTATTGTACATCTTTTGTATCCAGGTTTTTCCCATTACCACATTTGATTCTGATAATTAGTTGTTACTACAGTAAGAACTACTGGAATTAGACCGATTCACTCATCTTGGCACTAAGATATTGTTTAACTACTATGGGAGCAAACCTAGATCCTATATGCTAGTTAAGATGGCAAAACAATTTCTATTCAACTTATTTTCAAATACTCAGACTCTTGAAATACTGTATACAGTAACTGGGTTTTGGGCTCTTCTCAAAGATGGAAAATTAAAAGAAATTGCTTAAGCAATTGTAGATGAGGGACCAAATACTTCCTCCTCTTCCCCCGCCCATATAATTGTGCATCTCTCCTCTTACTTTGAGAACTCGGATTCCTAAGCATAGAAACAAGAACCCTGCTGTATCGGTGGCTAAATCAGCTATACATGATTTCAGTTACAAAAAACTAGTAGTAAAATAACTAAGCTATGACCACTGCACCATAGATACCTAGGACTCTGGTAATTCCTACTAACTGGCAGTGGTGGAAGTTCACATGCTTGCATCTCCCCTTACAAAGCTCACAAACTTTACTTCTCAGATACAGAAACTGAGGGGCAAAGGCAGTTTCTGATTGAGCTGTAGTTGTCTTAACACTTCATCTATCATCTTGGTTCTTACCTTCTACTCTAGAGCAAAGTGTTTGCTGGTCTCTGATTTCTTAATGATAGACAAAGATGAAATGTCCTGGCTGGTTCTCAGGCTTAGCATCAGAATATGGATTTACAAGGATTAGTTAGCTCTATGTGGCTTCTGAGGGGGATCATGCTGGAGTAAGGATCATTCCAATTATTCAGAATGATCCCTGAAAACGGATGTTGAATCACTAGCATTCGTGGGTATGTGCTGTGCTGTCACGTGTGATGTAAGAATTTAAGTAAAATCCCATTTTAACTCTTTTTAAAAGAGCCAAGTGGGAGGCACCTATTTGTAGAGGCACATTCTCATGGTCTTACTTTCCTCAATACCAGCTGTAAATACTGCAGATGCAGTGATCAAAGGCAATTATACTCAACATCCCTGTCACCAGAACATCCAATTGAAATTCCTTGGACATCAACTTAACCTGCTATTTTTTGGTCTAAACTTGGAATATTTTAACATCTGCCAAACCAGTTGTAACTTTATATTTTTTTTCAACCCAGTAGTCTTCTTAAACAGCAGCCCTAACAGAGGATATTAGAGTTCCTTAAGCTGCTGGATCTTTTTTTTGTTTTGTTTTGTTTTTTTGGGCCATTTGAACGGAGCATTTTTAACAAACTTCTAGGGCACTGGTATGTTTTGTGTTCAGTGCTTCCCACACCCCCAGAATATGTTGTGCTAGGCAGTCATCTAAACTTGGAATCTTGCAGAGGCAGGAACTAGTCTGTTACACTTGAACAGTATCATGCTATTGAAACGGGAGGAGGGGAATCTTAAACTATTAAAGGATTCAGAGGGGTAGCTGAGTCTGTAACTAAAAAGACTTAAAACAATGAATAGTCTAGTAGCATCTTAAAGACTAACAAAACATGTAGGTGGTATCATGAGCTTTTGTGGGCAAAACTCATACCATCTGCTTATTAGAGGATTGTCAGTCTTAGACAAAGGCTGATTTAAGATGTGTGATGGGCTGAAAATTCCAACTTAACTAAGTCACCTTGGGCTACCCTTTGCCTGTTATGTGGAAACTGATACATGGTAGAATACTAGAGCTGGAAGGGACCTTGAGATATCAAGTCCAGTCCCCTGCCCTAGTTTGAAATGTTTCCTTTTCACTCCTAATCTCTCCAGAAATAGAGGCCCAGCAACTGATTCTGCTTTAGTGTCTGTGAGGATGGTTCCTTTAGTTATTTCACTGTGCTTCAGAAAACCAGCCTATGCCCTGGTTGCTATAACAAATCAACTTCATTTAACTTTCCCATTGAAATAGCTGTGTATATGCCCATCTCTAAATCACAGTTGTAAGGCTAGCTCGCTATCTAGCTGTCTCCTTGTCCTTTCACCTGTCTGATTTCCAGGAAGGTGACTGGCATTGCAGCATGTCTGGAAAGTTAATTCTGCTTCTGCCAGAGGCTGCTGTGCTCAGTAAGCTCTGTTCTGCTCATTTGCTAGTGAAATAGTATATGGGACAGTTGAATTGCAGCAGTGCACTGTGCTGTTCTTAGGTGGTGGTGTATGCTCACTGTTTTACCTAGGATTCACACAATATACCTGCATTGCTAGGAAAAGCTCTGATCTATCCTCTGAGCTGCTGTTATCCCCTCTTATTTACCCCCTTATCTCTAGAATTCCAGCCCAATTTCCATCTGCAGTCCTCCTGTCACCCCATTTCCTAATCAGTTTCCCTTCCCCCACAGGTGAAGTATGATGAGCTACTCCCATAGTCCAAAGTTGGATTTTGGAGGAAGGGAAGTATGCGCCTTGCCAAGAACTAGTTTGCCTCCTGTGGAGGAGCAGATGCTAAGATGAGCCTAGCATAATACTTTAGACCAAGCCAATGTCCTATGCTAGAGTAGAACAAACACATGTGCCTTTTTCTTGCACAGTTAGGGGAGGAAGAGGCACAGGCTCTCTTCCCTAACCCAGTGCCTTCTCTGTGAAGATGTGCTGGTACCAGTGAAGCTGGGAGAGTACATGCAGGCTACAGGGAAGCAGTATCTGCCCTTTTTGATACGTGCACCCATTAGCTGGTCAATTGGACTCACAGCTGCCAGCAGTGAAAGAGAGCCTGAACCACATAGCAGTGGAGTTAAAATGAGAGGCACAAGGAAGACACACAGAAAAAGGTGCTGCTGTTTTGAATATTAGGTTTAAATTAGCTGGTGCTTTTTTTTCTACCCTGCTGTCAGTTCTTGGGTTTGTTTTCAAAGTGCGCACACAAACTAGAAAGACAAGGGGGAGAGGCAAAAAAATCCCTGTTCAGCTGGTTTGCTATGTCCTGCCGTCAACATCTACAGTAGAGGGGCTGGAGAACTATCTAGACTACATAGAGCACTTTATTTGCTCAAAGCATGGTGCCAATATAAATTGAGCCTGTGTGGTCCTGCAGTATTGGTACCTCTCCCTGTTTCATGCAGGGGAAGCAGGACTGAATCTCTTCATGGGTTTTAACTCTGATTTTTGAAAGAGACCCCTCCTCCTTCATGCCAATGTAAAAGAAGGAAATCAGGCCAGCTAAGATCCTAATTGTCAGAAGTGCTGAGCATCTGTGAAAATTCAGACCATAAGGGTACCTATACTGTCGTAAAGCACCCCAGGCTGGCCTGGGGTAGCGGATTCAGGCTTGCAGGGTGACAAAATTGCACATCTCTATACAGAAGAATCTTTATTTTTCAGACCTTCGCTTATCCAACATTCCGTTTTATCCGATGGGCTGCCCGCCGTCATTTGCTGCCCGCCAAATTGACGAATAAGAACGCAGCATGTACAACAGCTTATCACGAGTGCAGTCGTGCTTTTGTTTGATGTCTGTTTTTTCATTAGAATTATTAATAAATTGAGTTTCTACATATTTATACTCAGATTTTTTTAGTATTCCATATTATCCGATATTTCCGCTATCCGACCATCCTCTGGTCCTGTTTAGGTCAGATAATTGAGACTCTACTGTATTTGGGCTAGAGCTGGAGTCTGAACTGTGGGCTTCCGTGAGGGTCGAGGATCCTTCAGGGTGTCTGTTCTGGCACAGGGTCTGTCCTTTTCCTAATGGCCATGCTTTAATTTCCCTTTCAGCTTGGGGCTGATTGGGGGGGGAGGTCTATTTCCTTTTTAGCACTTTCCCTCAAACCAAAAGGGGAGCCTTTCCTTGCCTGGCTGGCTTTCCCTGAAGGGAGAGAGAAGAAAAAAGGACTCTATCAGGCTAGCTCAGAAGGATAGGCTTTCCAGTGGGAAAAGCCAGGGCCGTGACAAGCACGTCCAGAAATCTCAGACCAATGTTCAGTGGCAGTTACCTGCTGGCAGCACATATTCCTTCCGGTCTGTTTAACACAATGACACTCAATCTTCCAGCTGAGGCCAGCCAACGCAGACAGACGCAGCCTTTCCTGCAGCTCTGCCAAAGTACCTCCTGCCTTGCCAGGCCAGCCCCAAGTTCAGCTGTAGAGTGCTGAGCTGTGTGGTGTTTGCTAATGTGTCCACTAGGGACCAGCCTATGACCATCCAGATGCTCCCTCACTTCACCTGGAGGCATCAGACTTTTCTCTGCTGCCTCTCCTGCCGTCCATCATACCCTTATCATAGGTGCCTGACTGAAGATCAGAATGACTCTTTCCTGCCTACCTCTGTTTCTCGTAGTAACCAGGTAACACAGGGGCAGTGCCCTTCATGGTGTAGGCTCCTATTCAAACAGGGCCATCTGAAAGAGACTATCTGTTTGCAAACAGCATGGCTGAACTCTGTCCTGGAAAAAACTTCCTAGGCTTTTTCAACTATTAAGTAAAAGATTGTGGCTACACCTAAATATGAACAGAACTCATCCTCAGGTAATTTTATCCCCTTTGAAAAAATGTAATAACTTTTTAAACAATGTCTTGATATGCATTCAGTTTGTCTGGCATCTTTCCTGCTTGTTACTGTACAATAACTAGTAGTAGATATAGAAGTAATGCCCCCCAAAAGAAAACATTTCAGATCCTAAATGTTGACATTTAATTCACTTTTGCTTTACAATGGGCAAATGAGATACAAAGCTGAATTAGCAATCATTTTGCTCATGAAATATCTCCCCCATTTTAAGATGAAATTATCTTTCTTGGTATATAAAACTCAGAAGTATAAAATGTGTCCCCATATAAATGACACAAGCAAAAGAAAAACATAGCTAACATTATTTGAAATTACCAGAAAAATTGCTGCTGTACGCTACATATTTCATTTCTGTTATTTACAGAGAGGTTTTGGTGGAATCTCATTTGACTCAACAAAGTCTTCCATTGAAGAAAGAGGTAATTGACAAAGCATAATTGAGTGGCTTGGTAAAGAAAGTAAAAATCAGTAGATACATTTTTCTGATCCACTTGATATAAAATACAAGTAATGTTTTACAGTTTCTTGACGGGCTTTCCATTCACTAATGATTGTTTAATAAACCAAAGGTTTTGTCATAAACACATGTTCTATTTTCACATGCTCATGATTTTCTGAAATGTTTGCCTGTGGAGATGAACAGTTCCTTGTATAGAATCAAAGAAAACTAGAACTGGAAGGGACCTTGAGAAGTCATCAAGGCCACTCCCCTGCACTCCTTTTGCACTCTGTACAAAGGTGAATGTATTTGTTCCAAATGAGTCCAAAATCTCATCTGCTGTGGTGCAAAGGCCATGCTTCTGTTCATGTTTGTACACCACTGAGCACAGCAGGCCCCTGACCAATTGCTAATGAAATGCAAACACTATTGCAGATAAACACTCAAGGTTAGAAAAGAAAATAAGGTGGAACCTGCAATGTAACTCTACTTCAGGGGTGGGGAACCATTTTTGGATTGGGGGCCACTGACCCACAGAAAAATCACTCGGGGGTCGCACACAAGTGAGAAGCAAAAAACAAAAATCCCTCACTGACATGGTCCCTGACTGAGAAGGAGAAAGACACTCGCCCCATTACTCTTGACACCAGAGTCTGGAGGGGGGGCAGCCTAGTAGATTTTGTGCTCCAGCCACTCCGTAGGGTGCTGGGGGTGGGGGCCTGGAATGACAGAATGGGATTGCCAAGGCTCAGGGAGAACCCTGAGCCTCAGGGGCTGAATCCAGGCAAGCTGGAGGCCGCATCTAGCACCCAGGTCTTAGGTTCCCCACCCCTGCTCTACTCCTTTGCTCTGATGTATTATGATAATCTTTAATTATGTGACTTTGTGCTGTTTCTCAAACAATATAGAATCATAGAATCATAGAATAATAGGACTGGAAGGGACCTCGAGAGGTCATCGAGTCCAGCCCCCCGCCCTCAAGGCAGGATCAAGCTCCGTCTACACCATCCCTGACAGATGTCTATCTATCCTGTTCTTAAATATCTCCAGAGAGGGAGATTCCACCACCTCCCTTGGCAATTTATTCCAATATTTGACCACCCTGACAGTTAGGAATTTTTTCCTAATGTCCAATCTAAACCTCCCCTGCTGCACTTTAAGCCCATTACTCCTTGTCCTGTCCTCAGAAACCAAGAGGAACAAATTTTCTCCTTCCTCCTTGTGACACCCTTTTAGATATTTGAAAACCGCTATCATGTCCCCCCTTAATCTTCTTTTTTTCAAACTAAACAAGCCCAGTTCATGAAGCCTGGCTTCATAGGTCATGTTCTCTAAACCTTTAATCATTCTTGTCGCTCTTCTCTGTACCCTTTCCAATTTCTCCACATCTTTCTTGAAATGTGGCGCCCAGAACTGGACACAGTACTCCAGCTGAGGCCTAACTAGTGCAGAGTAGAGCGGCAGAATGACTTCACGAGTTTTGCTTACAACACACCTGTTGATACAACCTAGAATCATATTTGCTTTTTTTGCAACAGCATCACACTGTTGACTCATATTCAACTTGTGGTCCACTGTGACCCCTAGATCCCTTTCCGCCATGCTCCTTCCTAGACAGTCGCTTCCCATCTTGTATGTATGGAACTGATTGTTCCTTCCTAAGTGGAGCACTTTGCATTTCTCTTTATTAAACCTCATCCTGTTTACCTCTGACCATTTCTCTAACTTGCTAAGGTCATTTTGAATTATGTCCCTATCCTCCAAAGAAGTTGCAACCCCACCCAGTTTGGTATCATCTGCAAACTTAATAAGCGTACTCTCTATCCCAATATCTACATCATTGATGAAGATATTGAACAGTACGGGTCCCAAAACAGACCCTTGAGGAACTCCACTTGTTATCCCTTTCCAGCAGGATTTAGAACCATTAACAACAACTCTCTGACTACGGTTATCCAGCCAATTATGCACCCACCTTATCGTGGCCCTATCTAAGTTATATTTGCCTAGTTTATCAATAAGAATATCATGCGAGACTGTATCAAATGCCTTACTAAAGTCTAGGTATATGACATCCCCCGCTTCTCCCTTATCCACAAGGCTCGTTATCTTATCAAAGAAAGCTATCAGGTTAGTTTGGCATGACTTGTTCTTCACAAACCCATGCTGGCTATTCCCTATCACTTTATTACCTTCCAAGTGTTTGCATATGATTTCCTTAATTACCTGCTCCATTATCTTCCCTGGGACAGACGTTAAACTGACCGGTCTGTAGTTTCCTGGGTTGTTCTTATTCCCCTTTTTATAGATGGGCACAATATTTGCCCTTTTCCAGTCTTCTGGAATCTCCCCTGTCTGCCATGATTTTTCAAAGATCATAGCTAAAGGCTCAGATACCTCCTCTATCAGCTCCTTGAGTATCCTGGGATGCATTTCATCAGGACCTGGTGACTTGCTGACATCTAACTTTCCTACGTGATTTTTAACTTGTTCTTTGTGTATCCTATCTTCTAAACTTACCCTCTCTCTGCTTGTATTCACTACGTTAGGCACACCTCCAGACTTCTCGGTGAAGACCGAAACAAAGAAGTCATTGAGCATCTCCGCCATTTCCAAGTTCCCTGTTACTGCTTCTCCCTCCTCACTAAGCAGTGGGCCTACCCTGTCCTTGGTCTTCCTCTTGCTTTTAATGTATTTATAAAAGGTCTTCTTGTTTCCCTTTATGCCTGTAGCTAGTTTGATCTCATTTTGTGCCTTTGCCTTTCTAATCTTGCCCCTGCATTCCCGTGTTGCTTGCCTATATTCCTCCTTTGTTAGTTGTCCTAGTTTCCATTTTTTATATGACTCCTTTTTTATTTTGAGATCGTGCAAGATCTCCTTGTTAAGCCAAGCTGGTCTTTTGCCATATTTTCTATCTTTCCTACACAGCGGAATTGTTTGCTTTTGGGCCCTTAACAACGTCCCTTTGAAATACTTCCAACTCTCCTCAGTTGTTTTTCCCTTCAGTCTTGCTTCCCATGGGACATTACCTACAAGTTCTCTGAGCTTATCAAAATCTGCCTTCCTGAAATCCATTACCTCAATTGTGCTGGTCTCCCTTCTACCTTTCCTTAAGATCATGAACTCTATTATTTCGTGATCACTGTCCCCTATACTGTCTTCCACTTTCAAGTTCTCAACTAGTTCCTCCCTATTTGTTAAAACCAAATCCAGAACAGCTTCTCCTCTGGTAGCTTTTTCAACCTTCTGAAACAGAAAGTTGTCTCCAATGCAGTCCAGAAACTTATTGGATAGCCTGTGCCTCGCTGTGTTAGTTTCCCAACATATGTCTGGATAGTTGAAGTCCCCCATCACCACCAAATCTTGGGCTTTGGATAGTTTTGTTAATTGTTTAAAAAAGGCCTCATCCACCTCTTCCACCTGGCTAGGTGGCCTGTAGTAGACTCCTAGCATGATATCACCCTCGTTTTTTACCCCTTTTAGCTTAACCCAGAGACTCTCTACACAGCTATCTCCTACATTCATCTCCACTTCAGTCCAAGTGTGTACATTTTTAATATACAAGGCAACCCCTCCTCCCTTTTTTCCCTGTCTGTCCTTCCTGAGCAAGCCGTACCCTTCCATACCAACATTCCAATCATGCGTCCCATCCCACCAGGTTTCTGTAATACCAATATACTGAAACCATTTTTTCCCCTCAATTACTTTTGATACGTGAGTCTATTGAAATGTGATGCTGAATTTGTAGACATAACATGGATGTATAAGTGGACAGAATTAAGGGTTTCAGCTTTAATTTTCATGTTTCCTGCTGCTTGGGCACTTAACAGTGCAACCTTAAAGTTGTAAAAATGCAGTTCTAGCATTTCATCACCTAGATTTTGCTTTGTTTTTTCTTTTAAAAAATACTTTATTACAACTCTAACTAATTTTTTCCCCTCTGGAAATGTAAGTAGTCATTGAGAGGGTCTATTTTGTAACCATTTTTCATTAGTATTGGCTGTCCCTAAAGCAGAATGTAACACTAGTGGTGAGAGTAGGCATCTTAATGCCCTAAGTGAGTACCCTGCTCCATTAGGACATAAAAATGGCTAGACTGGGTCAGACAAGTGGTCCATCTAGACCACTATCCTGTCTTCTGACAATGACCACCTGTGCCAGATGTTCAGAGGGAATGAGTTGAAGAGGGATTATTGAGTCATCATCCAGCCCTGGTTTCTATCAGTCAAAGGTGTAGGACACACACAGCCTTTGAATGTATCTAATTCTTTTTTGAACCCATATACTACTGGCCTTCAAAACATCCCCTGTCAATGAGTTCTACAGGTTGACTGTGAATTGTTTTTGTTTAATTTAGCTGTCCATTAATTCATTGGGTAGCCCCTATGTGAAGGGATAAACACTTTTTCTCCACATCATAACTTTATAGATCTCTATCATATTTCCCTTCAGTTTAGAAAAGAGACAACTAAACACATCAAAGGGCACATCTGTTTTTGCATGAAAATTACTCCATACGTCTAATAGTTTTGCTATTTCTCTGTATCTTTTCCAATATATCTTTGTTGAGATGGGCCAAACAGAACTGGATGCAGTATTTTGAGATGTGGGGATTTAGATAGTGGCATTATAATCTTCTGTTTTATTATCTATTCCTTTCCTAGTTGTTCCTAATATTCTGTTAGCTTTTTTGACTGCTGCTGTACACTGAACAAATGTTATTAGAGAACTTCCATGATGATCCCAAGATCTCTTTCTTGAGTGGGAATAGCTAATTTAGATCCCGTAATTTTTTATGTATGGTTGAAATTATTATTTCTAATGTGCATTACAGGCAGTCCCCGGGTTACATGGATCCGACTTACATCGGATCCCTACTTACAAACGGGGTGAGGCAACCCCGCACTAGCTGCTTCCCCCCAACAGACCAGGGAGACGCGAAGCTAGCACCCCCCTTCCATCCCCCCAGCAGACCAAGGAGACGCGGAGCGGCTTTTCTCAGCAGACACCTCAGCTTGAGAATAAAGGCCTGAGGGAAGTGAGGTGTGGGAGAATAAAACTGAGCTCTGGAGAAATGTTTGGCTAGAGTTTCCCCTACAATATGTACCAGTTCCGACTTACATACAAATTCAACTTAAGAACAAACCTACAGTCCCTATCTTGTACGTAACCCGGGGACTGCCTGTACTCTGAATTTATCAACATTGAATTTCATCTGCCATTTTGTTGCCCACGTTCCCAGTTTAGCAAGATCCCTTTTTATGTCTTTGCAGTCAACTTTGGCTTTTACTGAGGGTAGTTATTTTGTATTGCCTGCAACACTGCCACTTTGCTGTTTACCCCTTTGTCCCAATCATTTAGGAAGATGTTGAGCAGCAGTGGTCCCTGTACAGATCTTTGGAGTACTCTGCTATTTAACTTTTCCCATTGATTGATGAGGTCTGAGTTCCCTTTACAAAAGCCATGTTGACTCTTCCCCATCATTTTGTATTCATCAATGTCTACTCATTCTGTTCTTTACTATAGTTTCAACCAATTTGCCTGCTACTGAAGTGTAATTTCCAGGATTGCTTCTGAAGTCTTTTTTAAATATCAAGATTACATTAGCTATCCTACAGTTATTTGGTAGAGAGGCTGACTTAAGCATTGGGGCCATGTCTACTCTACAGATAAGATCGAAGCTGCTGCAGTCGATCTTCCAGGGTTCGAATCAGTGGTTCTAGTGAAGACACGCTAATTCGAACTGAGAGGGCGCTCCTGTCTATGCCGGTGTCCCTGCTTCCACGAGGAGTAAGGGAAGTTGAAGGGAGAGTGTGCTCTCTTTGACTTCCCGCACTGTGGATGGCGCCAAAATTTGAGTTAAGGTAAATCAATTTAAACTACACAATTAACGTAGCTGAAGTTGCGTATCTTATTTCGAACTTATCCCCTAGTGTAGACCAGACCTGGGTGACCTATCACCGTTAGTAGTATGGCAATTTCATATCTGAGTTCCTTCAGAATCTTGGGTGAATACCATCTGGTCCTGCTGACTTTTTATTAGAGCCCTACTAAATTCCCAGTCCATGTTTGTCAATTTCATGGTCATAGGATTTTAAAAATAATAACCTTCATTATTTCAGCTATTTAAATGTGGAATTTCACAGTGTTGTAATTGTATGGTACCTGATCCAAAAAGAAGTTGTGTGTATGGGGGGAGGGTGGTGTTTCAAGGTTATTGTAGGGGAGCTGCAATACTGCTAATCTTTCCTCTGTGCAGCTGCTGGTGCTGCCTTCAGAGCAGGGCAGCGGAAGAGTGGCAGCTGCTGGCTGAGCCCAGTTCTGAAGGCAGAGCCACTACCAGCAGCAGTGCAGAAGTAAGCATGGCATGCTACGGTATTGCCATCCTCACTTCTGCACTGCTGCTGCCATGGCACTGGCTAAGGGCACTGGCTAATGTGCCCCCTCCAAAATAACCTTGTAATTCACACACACTCCACACAACATTGTTTTGGGTCAGGACTCCACCCCTCCCCCGTGAGAAATACCAGTCTCCCTGTGAAATCTGTATCGTATAGGGTAAAAGCACACAAAGACCAGATTTTGTGGGAGGAGACCAGATTGCACAGTCTGTAACACACTCTTCATGGCTGTGAATGTGGTAGGGACCAACTTATTACTATGAATTTATCAGTTCGTTCCAAAGCCTTCTCTATTGACACCTCAATCGGGGTTTGCTCTTCAGATTTGTTATCTACAAAGTTCATCTCAAGTGTGGAAACCTCTCTCACACCCTTTACAGTGAAGACAGATGTCAATAATTCATTGTTGTTGAGAGTTTTGCCACTGATTTAATGGGGCCAGGAATTCTTCTGGGAATCTATTTCTAGCCCTGCCAGTGACTTTCTCTGTTATTTAACTCTCCTGTAAAATGACAATAGCTTGCTTTATTGTAGGGTTGTACAGTAATGCCCTCACCTTTGTAAAGGGCTTTAAGCTTTCTGGAGGAAAGATACTGTAACAGCGCAAAGTTCTTCTCATTTTATTTTACACTTGAATATGTTTAGTATAATCTTGAATTTAACCTTTCATTCAGCTCTTGCACATTATCTCATGTGTGCATGTTTCAACTTACCATGTCACCGGTCTGTGGGAATTGACAGTATTACCAAGGAGTATGGTGTTTTCTCTTTTACTGCCTAACTCCTTAATAACTGATTATGCGCATAGACTTTTGAGATATTAGAAGCAGAGCTGAGGTATAAAAAGAGTTTGAATGTTTATTTTAATTTTTAAACCTCCATTTGCTCCTTTTGTATTTGTTTTGCTGCAAATATTCTAGTGAACAACCTTAGTTAGCACAAATCAGCTCTTTGGTGCACGGACCATCTTTTTGTTCAGTGTTTATGCAGAACATACCACACCGAGGTCTTGGTCCATTACAAGGGTTCCTAAGCAATACCACTACACAAATAATAAATAAGTAGTTACGTAACCAAATGTTAAGATCCAATGGTCACGGAAAGGACATTCTAAACAGTAACCACCAACAATGTGACTTCTCAGTTTGAAATTATACTTTCCCATATGTGCCTTTTTGTGGCTCCATGCCATAAGACATCCACCCATATTACAAAACTGATACTGGGTGATCCGTGAAACCAACCAACACAGCCCATGCTTTGAATTGCCCATATTTCCAGTTCTTCTTTGCTCCAAAACAAATTGGGAAAACATTGAATACTGAAAGAAAGTGAGCATTTTTCCAGTTCTTTTTACTTAAACTGCAGTTTACAATGTCCAACTCATTTTAGCCCCCGCTTGTCACTCTGGCCAGAGCCAGGCCAAGGTACAGGCTGACCGGGCTACTGCCCGGGGCACCCCCATTGTAAGCGGTGCCGCACGGGGCTGCCGGGCTGGGCATGGGCAGCACCGCACATGCTCCGCGCACCCGGGGCAGCACCACACATGCGCTGAGTGCACGGGGGCGAGGCTGCACATGTGCTGCATGCCTGAGGGCGGGGCCGCACATGCATCACGCTCCCAGGGGCGGCACTGCGCTCCCGGAGCCCGGGGCACACAAATGGCTCGGGCCGGCCCTGACTCGGGCATTGCCTTCCCTTTTATTGTAACAGATTGCTGCCAGGAATGCGGCATGTGGTTAAGCTGTACTCGAAGATGCCTTTGTGTCTCCCTCATTGCACTGCTCATACTCGGTGTTGTAGGTGCTGCCATTGGTCTTACTGTCACATTTGGACTCCCACCTCCTACTCCAGGTCAGTGAGTTGGTTTTTTTCTGTCTGAACAAGTTAGTGAATCTCCACACCAAGTGCTGCCATTTTTTTCAATGAGTTAGACATCTTCAAAGTGCTACATGACTGCTTTTTTTTGTTTTACAACAATCCTACTGACGCTCCAAGGAGAAGTGTACATTCTCGTCACCAAGACTTTGGAGAGAAGCACTTTAATCTCTCTCCTCTTCCTCTCCCCTGTCCCCGGGTTTCAAGTGGCGCCTTCAATGTCTAAGCAAAATGCAGGACAATGTAGCACTTTAAAGACTAACAGGATGGTTTATTAGATGATGAGCTTTCGTGGGCCAGACCCACTTTTTTGATCTGAGGAAGTGGGTCTGGCCCACGAAAGCTCATCATCTAATAAACCATCCTGTTAGTCTTTAAAGTGCTACATTGTCCTGCATTTTGCTTAGACATTGAAGGCGCCACTTGAAACCCGGGGACAGGGGAGAGGAAGAGGAGAGAGATTAAAGTGCTTCTCTCCAAAGTCTTGGTGACGAGAATGTACACTTCTCCTTGGAGCGTCAGTAGGATTGTTGTAAAACAAAAAAAAGCAGTCATGTAGCACTTTGAAGACTAACAAGATGGTTTATTAGGTGATGAGCTTTCGTGAGGCAGACCCACTTCCTCAGATCATATTCTGAAAGTGAATTGGCATGACCATTATATAACAAAAGGGATACAATGAAGGAATAAACAAATTATACAGTAACGAAACAACTACAGAAGGTGGGGGCGAGGGGACGAGGAAGAGACAAGGAAGGAGGAAATTGCTTATTGTCAGAGTCAATTAAAGTGGCTAATCTTGATATTCATAGTAACTCCAGAGGTGGGGAGGCTGTCTTTGTAATGCGTAAGGGAATTATCATCTATATTAAGGCCCATTCGCAGCATGTTGAATTTTAGTATAAATAAAAGTACTGAAGTCTCTCTCTCTCTGTAATCTGGTGTTAAAGTCTCTTTGAAGTAAGATGGGTGTTTTCAGGTCTTTAAGGGAATGGCCAGTTTGATTAAAATGTTGGCTAACAGGTTTTTCTGCATGGAGATGTCTGATTTGTGAGAATTGATTCTCTGGCGAAGTGACTGAGCAGTTTGTCCAATATACATTGCAGAGGGACATTGCTGACACGTGATGGCATATATCACATTGCTGGACGTACAGGAATATGAGCCCATGATCGTATAACTGACATGGTTAGGTCCAGTGATGGTGTCTACAGAGTAAATATGTGGACAAAGCTGGCAACGGGGTTTGTTGCAACGGAAAGTTCCAGGGTTACTTTTAATGTGGTATGCTCTGTGGTTGTTAGTAAGAATCTTCCTGAGGCTAGGTGGTTGTCTATAGGAGAGTATAAGTTTGTCACCCAGAGCCTCTTGGAGTGTAGCATCCTATTCCAGTATAGGTTGTAGGTTATTGATAATGCACTGGAAGGGTTTCAGTTGGGGGCTATAGGTGGTGACAAGTGGTGTCCTATTGTTGATTTTCTTGGGCCAATCTAGCTGGTTTCTGGGTATTTGTCTGGCCCTTTCAATCTGTTTTTTTTACTTCCCCCAGTGGGTAATTGAGTTTTACGAATGCTTGGTAGAGATCTTGAAGTCTTTGGTCTCTGTCAGTGGGATTGAAGCAGATGCGATTGTATCTAAGGGTATGTCTACACTACAATGTTAGTTCGAACTAACATTCATAGGTGCTACACTAGCGCTCTGCTAGTTCGAATTTAAATCGAACTAGCGGAGCGCTTAGTTCGAACTAGGAAAACCTCATTTTACGAGGATTAAGCCAGTTCGAACGTACTAGTTCGAATTAAGGGGTGTGTAGCCCCTTAATTCGAACTAGTGGGAGGCTAGCCCTCCCCAGGTTTCCCTGGTGGCCACTCTGGCCAACACCAGGGAAACTCTATTGCCCCCCTCCCGGCCCCGGACCCCTTAAAGGGGCACGGGCTGGCTACGGTGCCCGTGCCAGGTGCAAGCCTGCCA